TAACTCTTGACATTTTTATGTTAGGTCACGGATATATGTTATTTCTTTAATGATGACAATGATTTCGGTAATCCAAGGTCTGGGACACACCTTGCTTCACCATCTCCATTAACGCATACACTCCAAACACCTTTATCACCCACTAAACTTTTTTTAACTTCAGAAAGTAGTGGTTTTCGTCATCTTTATCTTGTGGTGAAGCCGTCTGTATCTTCACCAAATTATCACATTAGAACGATTACTTCTGGAAATTGGCCTATTGTGGACAAACAAATATACGTCGATACAAAAAGACAATTAGTTTATTTTACCGCAAAGAAAGATACACCTTTAGAGACACACTTGTACGTCGCTAGTTATTCGGAAGATGCCGATTCTTCGAAGGTAATACGATTGACGGAATTAGGTTACAGTCATATTGTGGTTATGGACGTAAAATGTGAAAGATATCTAGATTGGTTTTCAAGTATTAGTGAACAACCACGATGTAGTGTACGTTATTTAGTATGGGATAAGGGAAGTATCTTTCCTCGCGTTAGTGAGACAATTGGTCTATACGTGAAGGGTAAAGAAGACAACAAGAAAGAACAGGACGATAAGAAGCTCTCAAAAAAAGTTCCCTTAGGAGAATTTTTTGATTTTATAAATAATGATGGTGTAAAAATATATGGGTGTCTATATCGGCCTGAAAATTATGTTCCTGGGAAAAAATATCCCACCCTTTTAAGCATATATGGTGGACCGAAATCTCAGGTTGGTCTTATGATTTTATTTATGATTTATTTATACTATTGAAATTTTTTTTCATTAAGTAAGACCTTTATTTTATTATTATAGATGGTGACTAATGATTATAAATATCCGCGATTACTTCGATTGTTTCTTGCAATACGACTTGGATTCGCAGTAGTCTTAATTGATGGTCGTGGATCCTCGGATAGGGGTCTAGCTTTTGAATCTTTTCTCAAAGGTCGCATGGGTACCGTTGAAATTGAGGATCAGATCGCAGGACTCAATTATTTAGCAACTAAAAATATGGGAATTGATCTAGAAAGAGTAGCCATTACGGGATGGAGTTATGGAGGTTATTTAAGTCTAATGGCATTGGCTCAATATCCGCACGTATTTAAATTGGCCATTGCGGGAGCGCCTGTAACGCAGTGGGAGCTTTATGACACAGCTTACACCGAACGTTACATGGGACTCCCATCTGAAAATCCGGAAGGATATCGTAATGGAAGTGTTCTCACTTGGGCTGACAAGTTTCCAGATAGGTATTTAAAATTAAATCTTTTCTTTTTTGATTTATGATTTTTGTAATTGTATCGAAATATTATTTATTATACATGAATCCAACTTGATGTTTGTAGTGAAAATCGACTTTTGGTTGCCCATGGGCAAATTGATGAAAATGTTCATTTTAAGAATTCAGAATTGTTAGTATCAGCGTTGGTTAAGCATAACAAACCACATATGTTACAGCCATATCCAACAGAGAGACATGGATTAAAACATGCCAGTGTTGCTGAACATTTTGAAACTTTAATGTTTTTTTGGTTGGTGAATTATCTATAGTCGTCGTCACTTTCCACGTATGTTTTTAAGGTTGGATTGGATACTTTTTTTTTTTTTTTTTGTTGTAATATAATACTTTTTCAAAAACCTAAAAATGTGAGTGTATGGAAGGAACTATTAAATTAAACAAATTTTTGGACTCTTATTTATTTAAAGAACTAATGATTTGTTTATAATGAAAGTTTAATATATATAATTTTTTTTTATTTTATTTTCAATTTTTTTTTCCATCTCGATTATCTCGATTATATTTGTATAATAAATTTTTTAGATTGTATTATAAATGAAAATGCTGATTGCTCATTTCACGAACCGGTTTTTTACTTTTAAGTTCACATGGTTGGAATATAAACGAACTTCCGTTTTCAATGGAATGTTTAAGTTCAGCATTAAGTTTTTTAAACTTTTCAAGCATTCTTTATGTGAACTTTAATTTTTTGACTTTCTTTAAATAAAATCATCTAAATAATAATCTAGTAGCAAAGTTTCCAGGATTTGAATTCTTTCTTTTTCAGCTAAAGGAATACTCGCAGAAGAAACATGTTTTCTTGCGAGACATTTCGTAAAACTTTTTTCACAAGGAAAACCCTTTTAATAAATAAAAAAAAATTCCTTAAAAAAATAATTTATTTATTTATTTATTAAAGTACTTAAAATCTGTATTATATTATATTATTCATTATATAATACATAATAATTAAAAAAAATAATGTTAATAGTTAGCAAATATTTATTAGAACAAATAACATTGGCGGACAGTTTTTTTAACATTATACATAAATTTTTTTTTAAAATAAAGATAAAAACAATAGTTATAAATTTTATTAGATAATTAATATGTAATGTGTGCTCCATTTGCATCAATACATGCTTGAATTTGATTAGGCATGCTATTAATACAGTTAAGTAACATAGAGTTATCAAGATTATTTCATTCTTCATGAATTACATTAAAAAAAATTTCATTTTAAATTTTTTGTGCAACTATTTTTTTAAAAACAGCCCAAATATTTTCAATTAGGTTGAGATCTGAACTAGAAGAAGGTTAAAAAAAAACCTGATTCAGAAGGTGAATTTTCAAGTTTTTTTTTAACATTTTTAAAAGTATATTTCAAGTCATTATCTTGTTGAAAAATCCAGATACTTTGCAAGAGAAAGGAAAAAAACTAAATTTTTAAATTAATATTAAATCTGAATTTATTTTACTAAAAAATAATATTTATTAAAATAAAAAAATTTTTTGGTAATTTCTTCCTTTCTATTATAAAGCATCTATATATATAATCAACTTAATATATCAATTAGAACTTTAAATTAATAATGCTGATATATATTATCATATATTCTTAATCTTATTAATTAAGTATTCTATAAGAAAAGCAATTATAGATTTAAAATCTTTCTTAAAAGTATTTAACTAATTAATATAAAATAAGTATTATTTATTTTATAAGGGATTAGAAATATTATAGTTTTTTTTAAAGAAAAAAACAATAATACTCTTTCTCTATAAAATAATTGAATAATCTTTAAAAGTGTATCACTCATTAAATATAAAATGTGATTATAATTAACTATTTAAACCCTTATTTGCATTTTTTTTTTTATATACTTCTCTTTTTTATTTCTTAAATTTTTTCTTTCTTTCTATATTATTCAATTCATTCTTTTTTTTACATTAATAATGATAATATAATAATATTTATCAATTAAAGAGATAATTTTAAAGTTTCAAAATGTATCAAGAAATGTAAATACAGATAAATCTAATAATGTGTAAATAGGTTTATTTATTAAATTCATGAAGTTTGTAGGTATTTAAAATAAAATTATTAGACTGAATAAGTAATAATTACTCGGCACGAAGTGCCGAGTAACTGTTGTATTTGCAATAAGCAATATGATTGGTTGGAATTTGCTGAGCGAAGCTCAGCAAATTCAACTTGATCATATTCTTATTGCAAATACTGTACATGTAAGGCATGGCAGTGCCGCAGTTATGAGGTCACGTAGTGCTGAGTAACTGTTTTATCGGTTTACACAAAATAGTTTAATTTAAAAACTTTATTAGACTTTTTTTTTTAGCTTTATTAAACCATTTTTTTCATAAGAACAAATGATATTTCTTTTTTCTTTTACGCGATCTTGTTTTTCCCAAAAAATTTTTTTTTTCTTTTGATAATATAAATGACACAAAATATTTCATCCAAAGGTAATCAATTACCCCTTGAACAACGATCAGCACTTGCGAAAGGTAGAGTTCCTCAAAACACAATTGTCAAGAAAGTGACGATAGTTTAAGAAATATTATAAAAATTGCACTTTCAATAATAAATTAATAATTAGTTATTAAACTATATTAAATTGTTATCTAATAGTAATTTACAAAATAAATGATTAGTAACTAATTGTACTAGCAAAAATCATCAAATAGTAATAAAATATTATCCGATCAGTTGAAAAAATTTCTAGTAAAAATAAGAAAATTTAATGATCATAAATATAAACATCATCATTATAACTGGATTTTATACTTTGGCAAAAATGAATTTATTTGATATTATTCAATTTAAAAATTTATATAAAACTTTAGATAGTTGTATAAAATCAGTTGCTAATCAAGAACAAAAAGAATCAAATCCATTAGAAATTGATAAAATCAAATTTATACTTAATTTACCTATTACCAAAACAGATACTTCTAAAGGTTTTTTATGAAGGATTTAGATCTATTTAATTTTATTATACTATTTAAGAGGTAGTGATGTTCCATGGCATTCTTTTAAGAACGCTTGGTGGTATTTTATCACTCGCTTTTTCTTAATTAGAATTTGAACCAACGGTCGACCTGATTTTTCTGAAAGACGTTGAACCAAAACCGAATGAAATTAAAGAATTCCTTGAAATTATACGGACGTGGCCCTACTAGGTCAAAAGGTAGCGTTTAAAAGACTTATACATATACTGGAAGGGGTTTTAGCAAGGGTACAGCGACCTTGTGTTGAATCCTGAAAGGTTTAGATGATATCCTGATCATGCTATCATATTGCCTAGACTGGGAATCGAACTGGAGTGTAATTTGAGAAGCATACTAAGTTTTCTTTTAAAGTAAAGATGATAATGGTTTGACCAACCAGAGGTTTACTGAGATGAGTCGGTTCGGTCATATCCTAAAGTTTCTACGCTTGTTTGAATTACGTTTATATCTATAATAGTTTATTATTAAAAAAGTTTGAATATCCGTTTTGTGAAACGATCGTAAAGTCTATGAAGTTCGTGATTTTTAAACTTAATTTTATTTTTATTTTGATATCTAAAATACATTAATTTAATTTAAATATAAGAAATTTCTATAGTACATCGTTTCATTCAAAATATATTATTAAATATAGAATTTTTATAAAAATTTATCAAAAAAATGATGCTTAATGCGTACAAATTGGGGCTTGTAATTTATCACCGAATAAAGAAAAGATCCATAATAATACACCATTGGTCCATCCAAATCCGGTTTGTACGGTATATTCGCCAGAACCTCCAGGTAAATTGATATCTAAGGTATTAAATTTTTCAAAAATAACACCACTTGATTTCCATGTACAATATACTGATGAAACAAATCTTTGTGATACATCGAATGCTAATTCCATAAATTCACTATTTGAGGTTGGTTTATTCTGCTTGGTATGCAAGTTGATTAATCCTTTGATAATCGTATAATCTAACGGAGGCCACGCATTTGGAAAATCCCATTGTAATCCTGATTGAATAAGCGTCGTCGGAGGTGAGCCAGGATATTTTTCCAAGAGTGATTTAATATGTGAGAATGACCCAAGTAATTCATTAGTTGAAAATGATTCTGGAAAAGACTCGGCCCTATAAAACAAAAGTTTATTATTATTATTACTTTATTATTTTTTTAAAATATATATGATATATACGTTGACTTACCAAAATGGAAAGTAAGAAGCCAAAGTAAATATTTCAGATCTGGTTCCACTTGTAAGATTAAAATCCATAAATAGTTTCTTTTCTTCATCCCACATGAACAACATTATAGCTTCCCTTCGTTGCTTGGCTCTACTTTCCATAACTTGTTCAATATATTTGTTCCCTAATACTTTTGCAAATTCCGATAACGTAATCTCATTCATGTACAAGATAGAATTTAAATCTACCGGTATAATGCTCCTAGTATTCAAAGTTCTCAACATTTCACGATTGTTCTCTGTGGGTGACGGGGGAGGTATGTATGGATCACGAGCCCACCTTGAAGAAAAATCCCATCCGGATTCTGCAGTAGTTGATATGTCCGCGTATAATTGTTTCTTTTGCGTCTCATTAAAATTATCGGAATTTTGTTCTACTACGATATGATCCTCTAGATAAACTTCCGGTCGTGGAAGTGAATTTTTCACCGTATAATGATTCAAATTATACCGTTTTTTTGATTGTGAATGCGTTAATGTTACGACGGATTTTAAGCGCCAATAATCGTATTCCTTGAGTAACACTGGAAATGCTCTTTCGAGGAATGATGTATCATTTGTTGCTTTGTGATATATTTTTACCATTTGAATCAATAATGGTGGTTGTGATCTATTTAAGTAATATATTCTTGACCCGTTGGCTATCGGGGGTTTAGGAAAATAAAAAATTTTTTTTTTAAAATCAAATTTAAAAGATTACTAAATATAAAAAGTAAAGGGATTACTTACGAACAAATCCATACCGTTCGACTAAATCCAAAAAATTTTCAATAACATTTTTAGCAATCTCAAATAATTCACTGACCAATAATCCTTCGATAATGAAATAACTATCCCAATAATATAATTCACGAAATCTACCACCCGGTATAATAAAACTTTTTTTAATCCTGATAAAACTTGATCCGCATTCTTTACATGTTAATGAATTCTCATCATATTCTCTTGATAATTCATTCCAAAACGTGTGAATCATCCTAGCAAATTCAAGGAGAATCGGCGATGAAATGTCATCAAGAAATGAGGGATTTGAAGGGAATGAGAGTATCGGTGAGTAAATTAATTCTCGCCCCTCTAAACCAAAGTTGGAGATGACGAATTGAGTGAGTTGCTCTTTTGTCGCATTTGCTGGAAGCGCAGAGAATTCCTTTAACACCTCATCAACTGGTTTTATCGTGGGCTATTTTTTAATTGTGATCGAATATTATCAATAAAAAAAAATCCCCCCATGCAAATCATACATTTTATTTTTTTTCTTAATTATTCACGAACCTTGTCAACAAATACTTTTGATTCTTCAAATAAATTGGCTAGTTGAATTGTATGCAATAATTCCCCTTGACAATATATCTGTGATGTACATCCGCTCTCTAAATCTGCTGATATCACAATATTAAAGATTGAGCAAAATAGAAAAAGTATTTTTAACATTTGAATTGTTTGATCCATCATAAATTAAGGAAATTAAGGAAATTAAAAAAAGATGATCGTGAAAAGATTTTCTTTCTCGTTTTTATCGATTTTTGAAAGATGCACAGACTTAAATTTCAAATTTTTGGTAATGGGCTTAGCCAACCAACCTTTTTTTAATATACCCATTTTATACACAAAAATAGGTAAATAATGGGAGTTATCTGTTATCATGTCTACGTTTGCCTCTTAAAAACTTACGCCCAAATAATTGATTGCGTTAACTAGATTAAGAGATTTCATTGTTAAATTCCATAAGGAAATTCTTTTTTATTTATAGAATACCCACCATGAGAGATATTAAATAATTTTAATCGAATTAAAATTATGCAATATTACTTCAAGGAAATTAAATATTTATTTATCTTTAATTATAGTTCCGAAAAATCATTTGCCTATTAAAGTGATAAATTTTTTTTTTTTTTTTAAAAAACAAAAAATAAATAAATAAACATTTAACTATTTTTACCTCAATAAATAGTTTTCGAGCATAAATAATCATTATTATATACTTTAATAAATTTCTAAAATTGATTAATCTGATTTAATGTTCTTTGTCTTATTATATAGCTTTAGATACTTTAGGTTTCCTTTTTTTTTTTTGTTAAAAAAAAGAATCATGTTACAGAGACGGAATATGTTCTTTTAAAAAAGTTGAAGAATTTGTTGCTTTTTTATAATTGATACATAATGAAATTTATAAATTATTAAACACTACCTTTTCCTTTCGAAATTAATGAAATATAAATGATTTGTTCATTAGAACATGTAATAATTAGATTATGGATTAAGCAAACGCTAGTGTTTTCTCGGCAAATTGAATAAAGTGTCATATAATTTATTAATTTATCAGATAACTCATCGATTTACACGTCCAATTGTACCCAAATGTATAAATCTATTTTATATTTTAGAATAAATGAACGAACTACAGTCAAGCTCATCTATAATCATCACTTTTGTCTCGGTAATTTTTCAAAAAATGTGCCGGAGCGAAGCGAAGGAATATAATACTAGCCATATGTCACACAAGAAGTCCCGCTCAATAATTGAGTCGAGGCTGATTGGGCTTGCAATTACACAAAAGTCAAGATAAAGTTCCGGAAAGAGGGAAGATATTTCTATGCAAAGTGTCCTGAGGTCCGCCCGCTCAATAACTGATTAGCTTTTGTAAATTGCACAAAGTCTTACCAGTGTGAATTTTTTTTTAGTTAAGATCGTTCAGGACTTAACGATTCCTAGTGATTTAGAAATGATTACGCGCTATGATGAAAATGCCCCGCTCAAAATTTGAGACGATACGTGGGTTGGTCCCTTTCGTTACACTTGTGCTCCGGGTTTCCGAAACCGTTCATTAATTTAATCATAAAAAGGTTTTTATATGATGTGATTATAGACAAGGTGATTATGGACTGTAACAGTGAAAACAATCTAATTGGCATTTTTACCATATAAATAAGATATCGAATGTTTTCAGTGTTATTAAACGAAATTATATGATCCTTAACGTCACCAACTTTTTTTTGCATAAGCATCACCATAAAAATATTTCAATTAATTTACAATTATTTTGTTTTGCTATTGAATTATAACAGATAAAAAAAGAAAAAATCTCATAAAGATGGAAAATCACATTATAATTCTTCTAAACTAAAAAACTGTGCCATCAGATTTGATGGCAATTGGTGGACCGCATGTAACTGGCCGTAATGACTTTGCGATCTCTCTACCAGCCTGATGAATAAATAAATTTGATTAATCTTAAATGATAATAAACATAATGAATAAAATAAATAAAATAAGTACCTTCCAAGTGCCCGCCTCAAGAACTTGTGCTAAATTTAATTGTTCTTTAGTTAATCCAAGTTCCTTCCTAATCTTCTCAGCAATTATATCAAGAATAATAACAGTCATTGCACGCCATTCAATAACCACAGGGTCATCAACTTCAAACATAGGAACAACTTCCACAGTTTTCTGACCTAGTTTCAAAACATAATCGTTATAAAAATTGAGACCACGTTCAGCGTCAGCTGGTTTAAGTGTTAATATACCAAGATCAGTTAAGAGGCCTCCTAAAATAAACAAAGAAACTCTGAATAAAGAAATTTTTTTTTTTTTACCCAAACTTTTTCGTTTAGAATATATATATATTTTTAATTTTACCATTTCGATATTCTGGCAATCCTGTTAAATGCTCAACACCTTCAAAGGTGATATTGGAAATTTTTATCATTGGCTCAATTAAGGAATAAGTAAGCCATTGTGAGAGTTTATGAAATGGAACCAGATGTTCAGTTGAGTCAGCTATAGAACCTGGTGACCTAAGTACTTCGCAAGGCCAAACATCTCCAAGAGACACCCCATTCAATGAAGTTCTGGTTGGAGGCCAAATTTCCGCAAGACCATCAACAACAATTGACCATAATGTTTCTATTTTAACTGTAGCAACTAATTGGGAAGTTGTAGTTGACGGATGTGATAAAAGATAATCTGAATTACGATAATTAAGTATTAAATAATTAGAACATATATCTAAATCAATTTCAATTAAGAATGAAATAAAATATTAAAGAATTAAATACCTAAAAGTTTTCCGGGTCTTGGCGGCTACGCGAAATGTTAAAGGATTTTATTAATTTAATTCAAAGTAAAGATTAACAAAACATTTCGTATTGAAAAAAATGTTTCATACCAAACCATCCTTGCCTTCAAAAAATTCGGGGTGATTTTTTAATGCTTGACCAAGACGACTAAGCAGTTTAGAACGTCCTTCAAGACCTTCCAAAGGATTATCATCATCTACCTGAAATGCCTTACGAACATCATCAACGCTAATATTGACCAATCTGTCGGCTAATGATATAATTCAATTTTTTTTTTTGTTTTTTTAAAAAAACAGGTAACAAATTTTTTTTTTTAGTTTTCTACAAACCATCAACTTGATGAGGTTGGGAGCTTTGACTTGAAAACAGTCCAGCCTTGAACATATCATAAGACGCAATCGCCAATCCTTCAGATCTGTTAAAACTAGAACCAGTATCTGGTTCTTTATAAGACCATGAATTACCAGCACCTGCATCTAATAATACGGAAACTACAAATAAGTCCAAAATTCGACGCGTAATTTCTTGTGTTGTAATGTTATTCTGTTTCCATTGATCCATTAAAATTTGTACACGTGAACGTCCACCAACATCAAAGTGACGCCAACGACCATGAGGTGGAATCTCATCGATATCTTTATAATCGCGTTTCATTAATGAAATTACAGCAATAACAGCATCTTGTAACTTTGAAAGGTCAAGATTGAAATGTTTAAGTTCATTTTTCTCTGCTTTTTCATAAACCTTTCTTGAACGTTCACGAATAGCTTGAAGACTTTTGAGAAATTTAATTTGTTCTTGTTCTGGCATTTTTCGAAAAATAAAGATTAAGCCATGATGGAAAATAAACCTTCTACAGTTATTGATGATCTTTGTAAAGAAATGTCGATCAGGAACTTCTAAATTTAGCCATTGTATTGTAATTCCCGGACTTAATTAGGTCTATTCTGGGTGACATCAAATGTTTCAATTTTGAAAATTTTATTAATAATCACGTGATTATCATAATATTAAATTTTAATTGGCTAAAAAAATCACATGACAATATTAAATTTCGTTTATTAATTCATCAATATTTTCAAAAATATAATCTGGAACAACTCAATGTGATTTATATTTTTTTAAAACATATTCAGCTTGTAAACCAGTTAATCCTTTTTGATAACATTCCATAAATTTTGCTGATTTATTAGCATATTTACGTATTTGATTTAAAGGAACTGAATCTAATGCACGTAGAACTGTTTCTTGTAATCCTTTCCATGTATAATTGCAATGTTATCGGATATATCATTTTGCAGCTTCCCAATACATTTCAATATAATTGAGTTCACAGTGAAATTTTGGATAAAATATTACTTTATGTCCTAATTCTTCAATAATTTCCTACAATAATAGTTTTTGATTATGAAAATTCTCTTAAGCAGCCAAAATATGACGTGCACAACATTTTGGATTTTCTAATAATATATCACTTTTACCACAAAAAGCTTTTAATTCTTGATTCCATAAATCACGTTCTTGTAAAATTATTTTCATTCCTTTAGGTTTTCCACAAAGTATTTCATCAGGATAATCAAAAGGAAATACCATAGTTTGAATTTGACCATTGAATATTGTATCACGCATAATTGGTTGTTTACCATCAGGATTAAGATTTATATTCATTGCATTAAGAGTATCATTAGCTAATTTTGCATGACTAAAAGAATTATCAAAGGCAAATACAGCTATCATGCCTGGATGTGTTTTTTCAAAAATTGGTATAGCTTTAGTTTTAATCTAAAAAATAAAAATTTTTTATTTAATTAATAATTTTAATTTATATTAATTATTATAATAAAATACCTGATCAATTAATTGATCAATATTCCACCATCTATCAAAATTTTTTCTAGAATTAATTTTAATATAGGCTTTACTTGGAATGGTATTATCAATTTCTTCTTCATTTATTTTTAATCTTCCAATTGTATCAGTTAAAAAATCACTAATATAAATTGTTCTTTCTTATCCTTTTTTTCGTAAAGGTTGCTCATTTTTAGGTCTTCAACCTGATTTTCATCCATCATTTGATTGAAAAGTTGTTTCATTATGAGTAACAAGAATATGTATTTTTTATTCACCTTCTAATTTAGGATCAATTCTAATTTCAAGTTCATTACCAATAAATTTTGGCATTAAACTTTGATAACTATAAAATTATATGCATAAATATAAATATAAAATTTATAAATAAATTAAAATATAAATTAAAAATAAATTTATTACCTAGCCATAGTTTTAAGGAATTCTTTTTGATAAGCAATAACATCATCTCTCTTATGACCATCAATATACATTCCTTTTATATACTAACTAAATACAAATCCCATTTTTTTAACCATCAAATTGCCATTTTTTTGCTATAAAAATATAAAAATTTTAATAAAATATAATATAAAATAATTTATAAAATATAATGTGATAAATAAAGCTTATCTAATTTTATTTTTTTTTTTCTATGCCAATATAAGGCAAAATTTTATTAGAGATATAATCACAAAAATCAGTAACAGTTATATCAAATTTATGTTGTCACAAATATGATACCACTTTTAGTTAAACATTCTTATCATCAAGAATACTGCTTCCTTTAAAATGTTTTCCACAATTACTTTGAGGAATATCACCATAATTAATAAATGTTTTAGCTCAACTTCTAATACAGCGAGCAAACCATTCTTCTCAATTAAAAAGGCTTGCAATAACTTGACTTGCATTTAATTTTGTATGATCTTTGTTAAGAAGTTGTAAATAGTGTTGAGTAGCTTTGAGTCAGATTTTATATTCTAGAGTTAAATGCTCATTTTCAGATTTTAATTTGTTTTCAATTGTATCAATAAATGCTTGTATATTTTTTATATCACCCAAATTACCATCAGAGCTGACATCAGAATCAATATTAGGATTACTGCCTAATCTACCACTAGAGTAACCACCAGAATTACCATCAGAATTACCACTAGAGTCACCACCAAAATCATCACCAAAATCACCACCAGAACTACTACTGGAGTCAAATAACAGTTGATAAAGGATTTTTCCATTTTTTTTCTATCCTTTAATGCTTCAATTTTTTTTCAATATTTGGTTGTGCGTGAATTTTTTAAATATATTAATGGACACTTGAATAAGTTTAACATCTTTATATTTTCAATTAAAACTAAAAAAAGGCATTCTGTCTCATTCTCAATTTGATCATCAATCCATTCAATTTTATCCTCTGTACTATTTCCATCATCTGAACTTAAAATATCATTGGAGATATCATGACTTTTCTTATTTTTGAGTTTTCTTTCTTTGCTAAATCTTTACAATGTTGTTTTTACCATTTTAAACGTGACATTTGTAAGTCCAATCAGTTGATACACATACATGTAGATTAAACTATATATAAGAGGCATTGGATGCACAAACGAATTAGCTGATCAGGCCTATAGATTCTGATCTGGCTCACATTATAGAAATTTGTCTTAATTCAGGCTGAAATTATTGTTTCAAATCTTCATTCATTTAGAAAAATATTCGAACTTTGCAGCTTAATAATTTTTCATCTTGATGTTTAATTGGAATAATCTCAACATTATATTATGAGACTGATCAATATCTATTAAATTATGTTAAGAAATTTTGAATAAATACTCCAAAAAATTTTTTATTAAATTTTTAAGTTGGACAAATTTTATTGAATGCCTTATTGTGTCCCTCACTATACAGTATATGCTAAACATTTTTACTGGTTTATTTTTTAAAATATTATATAAATTTTAGAGTTATTTTAAATTTAAGTTCAGGAATTTTCATATGATACAAAATTTTAGACTTAAGAATTGGTATAATATTAGACATAATTCCGAAAATTTCAGCCTGCATTATGATAATTTAGCCCAAGATTTTTGGAAATTATCTATTTAGAAAAATGGCTTTCCGGAATATAATCAGATCAATGCTATATGCAAAATTTTCACATGAAATTTATTATATCACTCCAATTTCCCATGCTTTTGAATATTTATAATAAAATGACACGCCTATCAAAGAGAAAAATTATCACTAAAGAGAAAAAATGAAATAGTAACAGAACATTTGCAAAGAAATCACGAGTTAATAATAAAGGATAATTAGAAGAATGAGAATGATTATGGAAATGAGAATAATTGGAGGAATGAGAATGATAGTGGTTAGGATGAGAATAGTTAGGATGAAATTGATTTAACAAATAAAAATAAAAATAAAAGTAAGTTAGTTTGGTCAAATAATGCATATCTGAAAAAAAAATGTAGACCTTATCTTACTAAAATAACTAAAAAATCAACTTATTTTGATAAATATGGACTAAGTGATTCTTTCACAAAAGTTGCAAAAGGAACTTTGGATATTTTAACACTTATAAACAAATAAATAACTTTGGATAATTTTGACAAAATTTTGGATAATATAGAAGATTAATACGATGATCAACTTGATATAAATAAAAGGATTGAAAGTTTAAAGATTAAACTTAAAGAAAAATAAAAATAATTATCTGTGTCTGAATTCAATAAAAAATGAGCAATTTTTGAATATTTGAAAAGACTGGATGATAATAAAAAAGGCAAGGTAAAGGCTAGTAATGAAGCTGCATAATTGGTCTTTATTGAGTATGCTCCATATAGAGCATAAACTATTCATTATTAAGCTAATTATCAGTTCCAAAATAATCATCTTCCAATAAGCCGTCAAGATAAACATCAAAAGATAATCTGACTAATAGATGATGAAGATATAGTGGAAGAATGTCACACTTGGATTCGTTCACAAGGTGGAAAAATCACTCTGCTAAAATTTAAAACATTTATTAAACAAAAATTACTTGTTAATTCAGAAATCATAAGAAAAAAAATCATCAGTATAGAAACCGCAACACAATGGTTTAATGTATTTGGATATTTTTTTTAGTTATAAAAACAAGGTGAGTTATATTATAAATTATAAAATTCATTAAACTAGTTATCATACTAATATTACCTGATATTGTATAAAGTATATACTATGATAGTCACGAATGTCCTGATGTTATTAAATATCAGCAAATTTTCTTAAATGAAATTTATAGCTATGAGAAGTATATGACAAAATATGAAGATGAAAATATGAATCAGATACTACTAACATTAAAAACTAATGAAAAAGAAATAATTCTCATAACTCATAATGAATGTATATTTTATTCCAATAATGAAAAACGAGGTGTATAGGTAAAATCTGAAAAATTACTATTACGTAAGAAGGAAAATGGACGTTCTATTATGTTTCTTGAATTTTTGTCTGAAGAATGTAGTTGACTTAAATTGAATCCATAGCAATGTTAAGAAAATATTTTTATATCTAAAGAAACTCGAGTTTATCTTTAATCAGGCAAAGATCAGAAAAGATTCTGGACAAGTGAACATTTAATCGAATAAGTGAAAACAAAGACCATACCAATTTTTGAAACAATTTTTTCAAACTGTATTGTCTTGTTTGTATTTGATAATAGTTCAAACCATGCAGCATATAGATCCGATGTACTCATAGCAAATAAGATGAATCTAAAACTCAGAGGTAAGTAACCAAAAATGAGAAATATGATTTTTAGACCAGATAATCAGCATCAGTCAATGGTTAATAATAATAATGAACCAAAAGGAATGAAGCAGATTTTAATTGAACGCGGATTGTAAAAAGATAGGTTAAATGTCCAATTATCAATTATGTAAGAATAAGATAGAAGATATAAATCAGACAAATAATTGTATACAAGGATCATTTCATTACAGCCAGATTTTTTATCTCAAAAAAGTGCATTAGAGAAAGTAATATTAGAGGCTAAACATAAATGTATCTTTTACCTAAAATTCCATTGTGAGTTAAATTTTATCAAACAATATTAGGGGGCGGCAAAAAGATTTGCTCGAGAGAACTGTGACTACTCTTGGTCAGGCTTACAATATACAATTCCTATAGTTTTAGAATCTGTTAATATAATTATAACTAGGGAACGGTAAACCGTTATTAAGTTCGAAACGAAATTCTAACTAAAGTAACTCAAAATGCCTATTAAAAAATATAACACAATCAAGTTAACTCATGTGTCTAATTAATTAGTTTTATTAATTATAATAGCCAACTATTAGAAAATGTAACATAAAATAAAAAACCTTAATAA